TAATTTTATTCTCCCATTCCAACCATTCTGTTCTTAAAATAATTTCATTCATGAAGCTGAGTCATTCTTGAGATTCCGCCACTTGTTCAACTATTCAAGAATTTCCCAACTTTTTTAGAACCCGAAGACTCATTGACGTGTTCATAAGAGCCCTCCATTGGTCCCTGTTCTGAGAGATCAATCCAGTCCATACCACCATTTCATACATTGTTTAACTTGCGGGGATTGAATTTGTCATTTCTCATAATAAAAGACTGACATTTCTGAGTAAGAAAAAAATCACAATTAAGTTTCCTATTTCCCTCAAATATCAACGCAGAAAAAAAAACTCCCCGGCGGGGAATCGAACCCCGGTCTCCCGCGTGACAGGCGGGGATACTAACCACTATACTACCGAGGACGCACTTTCAAACGCTACTGAAGTATGTAGATAGGCATAATAATTGTCGTTCCCCTATTTATGTGCATGTATAGATGCGTAGTCGCGAATTACAAGGGCAGGACTTCAATATCTCCGCCTACGTATGCCAAGTTCATGACGTAATTCCCACATTACACAGGCAAATAATACCCAGGTCGCGTAACAGCTGTGCGTGCGTAACAGAGCATTCAATGTTGGCAATGTTAACAGTGTAGTTCCGCCAAAAGCAAGAACTTAAAGGTAAGGGCAAGGTAAAGCTGCCCCTGTGCTTAACTAGTTAAGCACTACGCCATGAAGGCGTATGGGGGGAGTGGATGTATAGATACACATTTCTTGATCTCGGCAATAGCTGGACATGAGTGGTCAGCTTCACGCCTTCACCGCTTTACCTCCGGGGAAAGAGCCCCCGGTACCCATTCGATAGGAGGTTGGGTGACCCCCAGAACCGGTATGGACGTCGTCAAGAAGAGAACATTTTTGAACCTGCCGGGACTCGAACTCCGACCCCTCGGTCGTCCAGCCCGCAGCTAGTCGATAACCGACTTCGCTACCTCGGCTCCTAGGAACAACTTAAAAGTAACCAAAAATTTTACAGCATCTCCCAGGATTAATTTTGTTGCATTTTCTAATTAAGCAGTAAAGTGAACCTACTTTTTTCTATAGACCAGGTATGTCCAACGCGTTGATCATGATCGACCGGTCGATAGCGGGTCGATTTCTGGTGAATCTCATAGGCCTATAAGGAATTTATACGTGAAAATCATGTAAATTCACTTGTAATATAATGTAATTATATTCAGATTTTGAAGGAAAAATACGCGTTAAAGTAGTCTGTACTTTCAATGTATGTTGCTTTTGTAACAAGCATCATGTGTCGTGTTATTTTTACCAATATTTTTGCTTAAAGCGTGGTACGGCGATAGGAGGGGGTGGTAGATCACTGGCAGTTTCGACACTAAAAAGTCGATCACAACCTGTTTGAAGATGGACGTGCCTGCTATATACCTTTCCATTGGAAGTGCAGGAAGTGTTCATGTTTGGCACAGCGCAGGCTGTTCTCACGGCAATGGGCCCATTGCTAACAAACGATAACTATGTAAATATCGCGTTTTCAGTTATGACATGGAACATCACACACACACACACACACACACAAAGCAGAGTGCATGCATCTCGTTTCAAGGGAGGCCGGCCCCAGAACACATTTCTGTGGACTACGTCGGGAAAGACAATAGTGGAATGTGCCGCAAAATTCTAAAGATTGTGGAAGTTACTTTGTCAATCGCCGCTAGAGCAAAACCCTAACAGAGAATTCTGTCTTCTGAGATATAACGCCGGGTAGTCCGTTGATAGTCAACAGACATTTCGAAGAAACATGTCGCCTCCATCTTCAGGATTGAAAAATAAGCAGAACAAGAAACCAGGCGTGCCACCTGCTTTCACGCTACTTTATTGTTAGGCTTATTCTTCAACCCTGAAGATGGGGGCGACATATTCCTCCGAAACGTCGATTGATTTTCAATGGCCTACACGACGTTATATCTCAGAAGATACAAATCTTTATAACAACCGGTGTGAAAACCTCAATTCCTATAAAAAAACCTACATATTTCAATCTGCCATGCCTTGCCTTTTGAAAACAAAAATCGAAATTGAAGAAAACAAGGAAATATGTCGCATATAATTATAATAATGATTATAAATGTTTGAAATAAAAATAGAGTTTATAAGTTGATACTTTAAGGCGATCAAAGAACGAATCCTAAACGGCTTAAACTAAGTCTGAGAGCACAGTTCTGCAGTTCTGCTTCGCTTAGTGGGGGGGTGGAGTCAAGCTGGGTCCACTCGGCACGGCGGCCAATGATTGGCCTATTGTAGCCCGCCCCGGGTGATTATGATGATGGAGAATTTGGTGGAATGAATATTGACAGGGGAAACCGAAGTACTCGGAGAAAACCCGCCCCAGTGCCACTTTGTCCACCAGAAATCCCACTTCACCAGACCCGGGATCGAACCCAGGCCGCCGCGGTGGGAAACCAGCGACTAACCGCTTGAGCTATGGCGCGGCCCTTTCAGTTCTGCTTACTACACGCTTCGTGCTAATTTCTTTCTCGGTTTATTCTTCCACTCTGAAGAAGAAAGCAACATGTTCCTCCGAAACGTCGATTGATTTTCAACGGACTGTGCGGCTTTATTTCCCAAAACACAGAAATCTTCATCTTAAGGTTCTCCTCCCCCCTCCCCTTTCGGTTTTTGAATGACCACTTATCAAGAAGTTTACCTTGCAAAATTCTAAATCCATTCTGAACTACGTAATTATGTATTTACTTTTTCTTTGTTGCTAGTGGGGTGGGACTAAGTCCCTTGTACTGCGGCCACTTCTGGCCTATTGTACCAGCCCCAGATGATAGGTGAGGGTGATTGTGGAGCAATTGGTGGAATGAAGATTGGCAGGGGAAACCTAACAACCAACCAGTTCACAGTCTTCCTGGTATTCAGTCCGTGGACTAGACAAAACCCGTTCCGTGTAAAGTTGTATGCGTGTATATCTCAAAACTAACGTTGCCCTGCACTTGGGTAACCGTGACACCATGAACACGTACAGGTTGTTGCAGATCCGTGCGTTTTTCATGGCGCCATCAGACGAAGGCGAGTGATCAGATTCACGACCCGGCCGCTTTGCCCTTGTGGAATGAACACACATTGCATTTCCAGAGTCGGTCTGAATGCCGTGAAGAAGGATCTCTTGCCTCTGTCAGACGCCGAATCCTGGTATCTTGTTCGTCTGACCCGTAGTCTAAACGCAAGTCCTGCTGTGGGCATATAGAGGGCGACTCTTTGAAACAGAGAAGTAAAAAAAGTAAAACTGTCCCTGTATCAGGCCGTGGAGGCTCGTAGCTGATTCTACTCAGTAACCTTCACACTCACTGCCGTGAGATCCTGCATTCTGTCAGTATACCCTCGCTAATCCGGATCGAAATATGAAAAAAGCTGTTCACACTCGAGTACATACTAGAAGAGACGTATGGTATTAAGGAAGGCAGATGAATCACTTGTCTGTTCAGACAAAACTTGATAGTTTCTTCAAACCTGCATCATTGCGTTCAGAAACAAGTACAATTTCCGAGTCTTGTAACGACGAATAAAGGTATAGCCTTTTCCAAATAAAGGCTCTACAGTGATATTTTGTTATTTATTTTCAACAGCACTACTTAATATAATTAATTTTTTCATTTATTTGTGATCTCAGTTTTTTGTTGTCCTTTAGGGACACCTTTTCCTTCATTAATCTGGATTATCGCATAGTTTAGACGCCCCCTCAATTCGGATTAGCGAGGGCTTACTGTATTCAGATTTCCTCGCCCAAACAGGTTATGGGGCGCCTTGCTGACGCAGCCACTGCTACAAGCTGAAAAACCAGGGACCGTGGTCTCAGGGAGAGGGAGACAGGTAGCTTTGTTTGTGCGTCAGGGATGCCTGCCTCCAGGACATCGCCACGCTAATGAACACATCACATCAATTTTAACCCTCCAAGAATTCTTTTGTCAATAGGGTGAGTTTTCAACTTCTCACCACAGTTTCCAGCCTGCGTGGACCAAGCGGCTTAAAGGAGGCCCCTAACGACTCAACATACATAAACATGAATAGAGGCAAACCTCTGTTGCTGGGTTTTCGTGTGAGCCAGACACCACCCTCTGAGCAAACCAGCTCAGTTAACTGCGAAGCAACATAACATACGCAGTTACAAACTTGTCAGAAATTGAGCCGAGAATTAATGCCGTATTTTCTTGGTGTAATATCCACGCTGCACACTAGACACGCAACAGGCATACCAAAGAAGACAATACGTGTATCATGATGGAGGAACTACACTGACTTCATGTAGAAACACTGTAAATATGAAAACACGGAGCTCAGAAAGCACAGCAGGTCACCCCAGTTTCAGCGCATCTTATGAGGGTCGAGTAGGCTGGAACATGTAGTGCAGTGACGGATTTTAAAAAAGGAGTTAATTTTAAATCTTGATATCGTTGCCTGGTGGACGGTAAAAAAAAAGCACATCTCAAAGCCAAGAATTATTCGTCCTTTAATAAGAATCCAACTATTTTAACACTGGTCACTGACTCCACAGCGCAGAACACTACTGCGCAAGAGAGGCAGTCGCTAGGGACATTGTGGTTTTGTGGATGTTTATTTTAACGTTTTGCTGAAATGTGAACTGAGAGTACCTCAAGCTGGAAGTGCCAATGAATACAGCAAACATGGAGCCATGTTTTCTGTTTGAGGTACATATATCTTAACGTCTTGTGGTAGGTCTTTGCTTGCGTGGTTCATGTTCAAATGATAACCACACACTTCTGTTGGGTGCCTTATCCGCTTACAACTGCAACCATAATTCTGCTGCCATGTAGCCTGCTATAAAGGTATCGACGTTTCGGCGGATATTGCAGCCTCCATATTTACTTAAAAAAAAGTTGAATCTATCCCATAGGGTTGTGAGACCTCGAGGCTCCCACATATTCTAGACAATTGGCTCACAGATGGCGGTGAGGTTGTCAGCCTCACGCGCCGGCCGCCCTTTATCCACAGGAAGATTCCTGATACTAATTTCTGTTAGAAGCTGAGTCGACCCCAGGGTCATACTGTGGCTAGGTGGATTTACTGCAGAAAAGCGTTCTATCCTGAAGATGAAAATACCACGTTCTGCAAAAACGTCGGTACCTTCCTACCAAACTGCACGCCGTTGAATTCTAAAACAGATCAGACGTTACAAATTTGTTCTTTACGGACAAGGGATTAGAGTTTCTCGATAAGGAGAGATCGTACGTTTAATACTATAAAGATGCTGCAAGAGTGAAGATTACTGTTTTCTGGAATGTGACGCCGTGTAGTCTGGTGGTATTCACCGAAGATTTGAAAGAAAATTCTGCCTCCATCTTCAGGATAGAAGAGTAAGCCCAGCGTCGGACACGTGATACAGTCCTTCATTCTATACCAGTACCACGTTCCCCCACACTTGGCTTGTCTACCCTGAAGATGGAGGCAGCAGGTTTTTCTGAAACGTCGGTAAATATCTACCAGACTACGCGGCGGCACAACTCAAAAGACAATAATCGTCATATACTTCCATAATTCGCGCACATCCTTCAACTGTCTGAACTGACACCAGCCGCATATTTTCCTCCTCAATCCATTTCCATGGCAACACTGGACGATGCTGCTACGTAGCGTTCTGTTGTCCTCCTTCCTCTTCGTCTTCGTCGTCGTCGTCATCGCTAGCGTAACGATAACTCTCTGGCGGGGCGTCACTCATCTCCACAGCAGCACTGAGGAACAGCTCCCGGAACACAAACCCGTCCAGGTTCCTCGCCAAGTAGTACAGAAACAACCAGTCGGAGAAGTGGCATTCTTTGGTGAGCATGACGAGACCCCAGAGGTCAAGGACCTGTGGATTTGCAAAGCCAAACACGATCCTATTGAATAGTAAACATCGAGCATGAAGGATCACAGTCAGAAGCCTCCAGAGCAGCGCCGCCAACGTTGCCACACACAGAAATGCGATCCAGAACCACAGGAACACGTATATCTTTTCGTTCACAATATTTAGTGCCATCACACACAGAGCATCGTGCACTTGTAATGATCCTGAGGGTCCATACTTCCTGAAGGTACATTTCGTGACCTTCGGAAAGACCAAATCCAGAGGACTCGTTGCGCTGGAGTCATCGAGTTTAAGAACGTCCAGTCCCAGAGTCAAGAAAGCCCCTCCAAGGAATACATCAGTAATATAGATCTGGACCCCGAGGATGACAGCGCTTATAATCTCAGAGAAGACAAAGTCCCGTGTCCAAGACTCGTTGATGTGCTTCCTCTGGACGAAAGTATTCCTGATCAGTATTACCTTCCGCCTTGCATTCTTCCTCGAAGGTATTGTAACCCCAAATTCTAGCTTCACATCCTTTGCAGTCAGACTTAGGTACGCGTGTTCCAATCCCATCACCAGCGCCTCCATTCTCCCTCCTTCCCAATTCCTCCAACAATAATGTGGAGCATAAAACATCAATGCTTGCAAGAAGAGCATGAAAGGAACCCACTGATAATATGCATGGCGTTTGAGCGCATCGGCATTCTGAACGTATGGGCCAACACCGAGATGCGGAACCACTCCGTTGTGAAACGCTGATTCATTAGCGTGTTTCACAACTGTGAAGGTTGTCATGAAGAAGCAATAGGTGTTTATTACATTGATTGGCAATCCGACATCGGCTATACAGCGGATATGTTCACCGATGTATTGACGGCTGCAGACTAGGACGGTGGATACCAAGAGAATACCGAAGCTGGCACGATAATACAGTTTCGATACGAAGTTATCAGTTACAGGCTTCCTTTGCTTGTAATGAACATTACTGACGACACTGCTGAAAGTACTCAACATTGCCACAGTTCCGACCTAATTTACTTTTAACACCCTCTTTATAATTATGAACACACGCACTAAAAGCACTATTTACTTTCCACTGATCAGGGTTCTTGAAGCGACACCAAGTGGCAGTGTACTGACGAGCTCGTCATAGTCGTCTACGGTGATCTGAATAACGAAGTCGTACCACGTGGTCTATTGTTCTTATCACTCTAAATGAAACACGTCACTGCCTTGGAAAAAAGAAGGTCTCATACTCCACAAAGCCCGAAACGAGTCTATAAACAGACTGAACAATATTTACACATAGAATTGCGTGTGACCGCGCGCACACAGCGGAACCACCGTTACGGAGACAAGAATTCTATGGCGCAACGCTGTGCCGGTCTGACAGTCATTAGTCCGGACAGGCAGTTATTGAAGACCACTGTGCCCGTCCCCCAGCTACGTCACAAAAGGTAGGGGTCACTGGCTCAAGCAGATGACCTCTACCCTTACGCAACAGAAGCCCCACGTCACTGGTATGCTGTGCCGAACATATTAATTGTTTCAACTTGACATTATACCCGGGTGTACGCATGTCGCTGTAGAATGAATGAATGATCCGGCTATTATGAATACTAATCAGCGATTACACAAAATCTCCAGCTGGGAATTATACTTACTCCCTACGGTTCTGCAGGGAGCCTGGATAGCTCAGTCGGTATAGGGACTGACTACGTGCTGGACGACCGAGGGGTCGGAGTTCGAGTCCCGGTAGGGTCAAGAGTTTTCTCTTTTCCACGTCGTCCGAACCGGCTCTGGGGTCCACCCAAGCTCCTATCCAATGGGTACCGAGAGCTCTTTCCCAGAGGGTAAAGCGGTAGGGGCATGAAGTTGACAACTCACCTCCAACTAGTGTCGAGGTCAAGAAAACGTGGATGTATACATCCACTCCCCCATACGCCTTCTTGGGCTAGTGCTTAATTAGCTAAGCACAAGGATAACTTTACCCTCTTTTACGGTTTTGCAACTCACTGGACACGAAACATTTTCAAGCTTGAATTTTGAACTGCAATTTTCTGCGACCAGGAGCAAATTTATGGCGAGGTACGTAAATTTAAGTCTGTCCCTCTGCTTAATTAAACACCGCGCCATGAAGACGTAAGCGGGAATGTAGCTCCAGATAATCTTAATCTCGCCATTAAATGATACCCCTTCCGCTTGAGCCCCCGTAGCAACTGGCCTCACTGGACGCCCGTGACCGGAATCAAGCGCCGATTCCCGGATCATCAAGTCCTTAGCATAGTCACTATACTGACTGAGCTGTCGCGTCACACGAGTTGTCCGGATTAAACTGGCTAAGAATCGTGATGATTAAAACCGGAAGGATGTGGGGGGGGGGAGGGGTCTATCACAATTTGGAACATCCGACATAACCGCGATGAAACAAGCCAAATCACAACAAGAAAGGGAAAACCTGCACCTGGGCCCATCTCAACTGGGTACTTCATAAATCCCCCCCACCAGAACGTGTCTTTAGTTATTTACGGTTCATAAAGCGAGGCTACAATTATCGTTAATGTGTGGGATCAACTTTCATGCCTGTTCAGAATAACATACACGTAACATTGCAGTTTTTAGATCTACATTTTATGTTTTTAGACATCAGCGGAGAAGAATTTAAATTCCTTGAATTTAAATTCCTCATAATTTCTATGTGAACGCAATTTTCATCTGTTACTGCCCTACCCAGATATTTAAACCTTTCAACATTTCTGGAAGGCTTTACTGTCTGTCCTTACATCATAAAACTGTCCTTACTGCTACTGACTGGAGATTGCTACAGTCTCTTAAGAGTTGCTAACAGAGTTCTTGCTTCGTTGCCAGTGACATTTATATTTTCCCCCCGTAAATCCCGTTAGAGGCCCAAAGTTGTACGGAGCATGCGCACGCCTTCCAATATGCCATTCAGCGTATCGGAAGGGTAAACAGAAGATTGGTATGCGAGCCAGTAAATGAACTCTCATGTTGTTAACCCCTGTGATGGGTGCCCTAGATTTATACCAAGGCAGCAGAAGCGAAACAAGTGGCATCTGTAGACATCTCACTTCTAATTTCTATTGAAGCAGGACAAAAGGTTCTCCTAATAGACTATTTAGATATTCTTTTTAGTCCTTCAGCAAGCCTCATTCAAAAGCATATGCTCTCCTGATACAAAAGGCAGTCTCCCTTACAGTGTTGCCAGTATGCTCTAAAGTACTCTATAATGCTTGTCCTAAGAAGACGCCTGTGTATTCTGAAGATGGAGACAGCAGGTTCCCCCGAAACGTTGGTAACTGGTGTGGTAACTCAGAAAACCATAATCTTGAAACTTAGCAGTTTCATCTGATTCAGCACTAAATAATCATTGTGCTCTTCCGCGTAAATTCTCTCTCTTTTTTTTTTATTAAAATTTTATACATGTTTCTTGTTTCTCTTACTCCCGCCACACGCCCCGCTACCCATTCTACATGAACAGTAAGGAGCAAGTTGGCTCAAGTGTTAACGTTTCTGGTTCGTTTTCTGCATGGTCTGGTTTCGAACCTCGGCCTTAACAACAAATATCATGACTGAGATTCTACGAGCTTTTCCTCGGTCTCTGCAGACTGAAGCTGCAGCCGCTTTCCTCTACGCCCTTTCAGACTCATTATTCACTGTTCGTGCTGTCATTCGAGGCGATGTACTCCTGAAATGAACCCGAAACAGGAGAACATTAACAGTGAAGTCTGTTCAACTCGGCGTCGCTCCCAGTGCAGACAAGTAGCGCCAAGCTGACAGGCGTGTGAGCCGGCAAAGTGGAACGAGAGTGGGTAACAAACAGTTTCATATCGCTGCAAGGTCGAGCAACTGTTCTCCTTACATAATATGTAAGTAAACAGACACATTTAGTATCTTCATACGCTGTCACATGTTTCAGCTTTTTGGAACTACGTGTCGCCAGTTAATGGTTTCGGCACGTATGCAGTTCGTTTCGTTGAGATCTGGTATTTCCACCATCACGCTATTTTCTCTGGTAGAAGTCTCGTTTCGGAGGAACATGCTGAATCTGTCTTCAGGATATTCAATTGTCACGACGAAGGCGGCACGTTCCTGTCATACGTCGGTAATTCTATGTGCCAGAAAATACGGCGTCACATCCCAGAGGACAACCATCCTTATCAATTATTTTACGAAACGACGGGTGTTTGTAACGTTTGTGTTCTTGGCGGTGGGAACAAAATTTGTATATGCAGTATGACACAACACAAAGCGCTCGTGCCGTGGTTGAGACCGTCAGCTGCCTGTTTCTCTCTGTCAAGGCAGGGCAGTTAATGTGGGATTTGTGGTGGACGAAGCGGCACTAGGGCAGGTTTTCCCCACTCGGTTATCAATCTACGAATGTGTCATTCTCTCATCTGTCAACCGGGACAGATACAATGGGCCGTAGGTGGGCGAAATACGAACGGACTCTAATTCCAGCCACAAATGGCAGCACCTTTGTCTCATGCTAAGTTCTGCAGAGCCGTGCCACATTTTCTGTTGCGTCTGTTGGGTTATTTGACTCGAAGAAGCGGAAATAAAAGCCTTAAAGCTCATGGACCCGAATTCGGCCAGGCGCCATCAGCGTGCGAAAAGTTCCCAGAAACAAAACAGAAGTCAGCAGAACCCGAAAAGAACACTTGTTATTGGCAATAGGCAGGCTACTCCGCCTAAGAACACAACGGTCTCAGCAAGACGATGTTAAGGCCAGGATAACTGACACTGCGCCATGATGTACAGGGACTGGTGGTCTAGCTCCACTAGATGGAGGTGAACAGTTTGCTTCACGCCTTCGCTCGCTATGACAATTCTTCGTCCATTAAACAGAAGGCTGGATGTCTCCAGAACCAATATAGACGCGGTGCGGAAGAGAAATTCACCTAGCAGAGCCGGGAATGGAACTCCGGTCGTTACGAGCCCTACGCAACGGACTCGTACTACAACTCAGGGTCAAATTCCAGGCTTGTCAAAGCAGTGAAGCCTGGCTGTGTTCCATAGAACAGGGAGTTTCCTGACCACTGAGGAAGTAGGGTGGCAGCTCGTTGCTCGGGGCAGGGTCGCAAGGCGCAAGCAGCAGAGCTCTGTGGGTGTGTTGTCTTCTGGGTCACGACAACGCGGAGTCTAATACGTGGTTACGAACGCTTCATCTTCACGTCGACTTGAAAACAGAGGCAATGTGTTCAATCAGAACTGAAGATATTCCCCTGTGTGAAGATGGAAGACGTATGTTCTTCCTAAGTTAAATGGAGGAAGACTATTTCGTGGAAGTGAAGATGGAGGGCGTATGTGCCTCTGTGGGACTAAGAAGATGGCAGAACAAATCTTCATTGCTGTGAAAATAATAAATCTAATCTGAGTTATCGGTCATCTCCCTGCGACCCACACACGCAGTTAAAGAAGCTGATGGTCATCAACCTCGTACAAACATTGGGCCACCACCCCTGGATCCGAGGATCGCGTTGTGACTCAGTTTAGCCTGGTACACGGGTCCTACACTGAAGCTTCCAGGTTATGAACGGATAGAGAGAGGACCCCTGACCTTGACGTTCACATCCTCGCGTTGATTAGAGTTCGGGGTACAGATGCACCCCGCTCCTAAGTTGCCCTCCTGTGTCGGTCTGAGTTGCTTACTCAGTCGCATTCTGCGTGATTCTCAGAGTGGAGAATATCTGACGCACTTGAGTTTACTCAGTTACTGCTTCCGTATTCAGGATCGAAGAATGAGCCGTGCAAACAAGCAACAAACACACTTGCAAGCCTTACTCTTCGACTCTGAAGACAGAAGAAGTACGTGCCTCCGAAACGTCACATCAGTCACGTTATAGTGACAGCCGTGGGAGCAGATCCGGGCGCTTGAATGTTGCAGCCCACATGGAAGACAAAAGGCCACTAGTCGCCGGATGTGGCATGTCAGCTTCCAGTGTCTGGGCTGGATTCACTTAGTTATATGTAATGGTTATCATGAACGAAGGGCAGGCGACGTACAGTTCTCTCCTGAAATATTTATTATTATTTATGACAGGTACTGTATGATTCCCACGAAAATGAAAGCCCTACCCGAGTTCTGTAGCCTTACGAATGTTAATGGTGTTTGTAAAATTAGATTTTATGCTATTACGTCCGCCATTATGCTCTGAGCGATAAGGGTTTCCTCGGAAACAGGCGCTTTTGCTTCTAATGGTCAAGGAAGGAACAGAACCCAGCAGGATGTGATATGAAAAGCATTTGTTACAAAGGAGAGGTGGGTACCTTTCACTCTAAATATGAAATTTTACAAGATAAACGTCACTTGCTGACAAGTTAAGAGCTCTAAACGAATGCCCATTGACAGTGC